TATGGGAATGTAACCAAACACAATAGACTGTTAGGGAATTCATAGTTCACTATATGCTGAATCCTCAGAAAAGTGCCTCACACAAAGAGGGCGTTCAGCAAATGCTTTAGCATCCTAAGCCCTAGCCTCACCCCCACTCATCTAAAATCTCTGTACAATTGCTGGTTGCCTCTCACAGGCCCCATTTATATCCTGCAGGGACATAGCCAGACGGAAGTAGGAGATGGGACTGGATCCTGCACTGCTGGCTTTCAATCAGAACTTGCTGATCTCTGGGTCTGGGTCCTTTGTCCTGCTGGGGATGCCAGGACTGGAGGCTCTGCATGCCTGACTCTGTGCCTGTGTGCCTGCTCTACATGGCAGCTTTGCTAGGGAATGCCCTTCTACTGGGGCTGGTGGTTGCTGACAAGGCACTCTGGGCACCCATGTACCAGCTGCTGTGGCTTCTGGCAGCTGATGATTTGGTTCTGGCCACATCCACAGTGCCAAAGCTCTCACGGTACTTTGGAGTTTGTCCAGTGAGATCTCATCTGGAGCTTGTTTGGCTCAACTCTTTGTTGCCCATGTGGCAATCATTGCCACATTACTGAGTCCTCAGTGCTGTTGGCCGTGACCGTAGACTGCCAGCCTTTGCTCTACGGGGCGTTGCTGGCCCAGCATGTGGTAGGTCTAGTTGCTCTGGCTACCATGACCCGTGATGTCTGTGTCATGGTACACCCTGTGATCCTGCTAGAGAAACTGCCTTACTGTGGGCAGTGGGCCCTGCCCCACACCTACTGTGAACACATGGGTGTGTCTCGCCTGGCATGTGGAGATACGTGCCCCATCATCTGGTATGGACTGGTCACCACACTGCTCTCCCCAGCCCTGGTCATAGGGCTCATAGGTGCTTCCTATGCCCTCATTCTCCATGCGGTCTGCTGTCTGCCATCTGCCATCCCACGGTGCCTGCCACAAGGCTCTGAGTAACCGCAGGGCCCATGGTAGTGTCATTGGTCTCTTCTACACATCTGCCCTCTTCTCCTTACTTGCTCACTGTTTTGGGTCTCACACAGTGCCCAGCCATATTCACATCCAATGGCTAACCTCTACGCAATGGTGTCCCCGGCTCTCAATCCTGTGGTCTATGGAGTGCAGACTCAGCAGATCACTCAGAGGCTCAGGCACTTGCTTCAACTTTTCTGGGCAGGAGCAGTGAAGAAGGTTGGCCCTGAGAGGGCCTCCCTACAGGAATAAATGTGATCCCTATTTTCTTCAGCATGCATACCCAGATGACCAAGTGATGCTACAGGACCCATCTGGGTAGAGCTCTGACTAAAACGTCTCCATTGTCTGTTGTCAGGTGGCCCTATGCTCATTCCAGCCCTATTTTATCACCCATTATGTAGGCGAAATACACTGAACTGACCTGTCTCTGTCCAGCTCTACAGTACCCAGTCTATTCCTGGTATTTCTAAGTCTGTATTGATCTCCATAGAGGGATTACACACATATAGAAATAGTTGGTCCCGGACTGTGACAGACTAGGTGGTCTAGGACACATCCTGTGGACTAGGATCTTATCTTTTCTCCATCAGTTTATCCAGTCAAAACCAGATTAATGAAACATGTCTCTGAGTTGGGCCCCTTGTACAATGTCTGACACTAAGCAGGAACTCTGTTTGCTAAGGGGATGAAGACAGGAGGAGCTGGGGAAATGGCATTATGTGAATAAAATAGAACACAGCTCTGGAAATGGACATGGTTTCTGACCTGGGTGATTAATAACTAGAGCTTAGAAGATCTGTTGCTTTGGATGGGAAGAGCGTGCACAATACTGTAGCTTCCTCACTAAGCTCTTTCCCTACCTTACTCAGATACTAAGGCTACTCTTGTGTTTTCAACTTGTGCTAATGGCTGTTTGCAGATGGCAAAATATGGGGACAACTCCAGCAGCAGCTGTCATGCTTCATGCTCTATCTTCATGCTCTTTCATTTTTCCTTTCCTACATTCCTTCTTCCATAAGATGCCTTAGTTCTACTGTCACTCATCTGGATATTAATTCCAGACAGGTTTCCTGCTTCATGCAGCTTAGGTTTCCCAACCTATTCCTCTCTTATCTTCCTTATCTCTGTGCTCCTCTGGATCCTATGGCTACAGCAAGGCCAGGCTAGAGAAGCTAACGAAGAATGGATCTCTGGCCTTGAGCATGGAGTGAGAGGGTGAGAATCTGTAAAGTAAGATAAGGATATGACTTCTCAGCAAGGATTGTCCAACAAAGCTCTGGGCATGTCTTCATGGAGTCATACATCCACACAGCTTCTCAAATCTTTTCCCAGAAGGGAAGTCACAGTTTCATATACTTTTCTCTACTAGGTATATACCAGGGCAAGGATTCCAAAGGATGAGATGAGTAAGCAGAGGAACTTTATACTAAGCAGCCATATAATCTAAAGTTAAGGGTCTGTGAAAAGTAAAGAAACAATAAAGGATAGAGGTAGTAGAGCTACAGAGTCAAAATTCCTCAATGGAAAAATGGGGCAACACACCCTTCATAAGAAATCTGACATTTTCCTAGGCACTTGGGTGAATGTGAGAGTCCCCACTGTCTGAGAAATACTCAAGAGAGATAGCAGAAGAAAAGAGAATAATTTTGGTTGGCTGGCACTAAGAGCACTGAGTTTTGTGACTCCTTGTCCAGGCCTCAGCAACTATGCTCTTCCTTCTCTATAGGGATAATGGCAGTTCAGAGGCCAGAAGACTTGAGGCTCCACAGCATCCTGTGGCAGGTTAGGAAATATTGGGAGGGAGCTTTCTTGAGGGACAGACAGTAGAGGCAGCTGGCATTAAGACCAGAGGAACTGGGGGAAGCATTTGAATAGTGGAATGGATATAAAAGTTTACAGTACCTGGCATAGTGCAGGAGGCAAACTCGTAGGGGTGAAGGAAGATATATAACAGAGCAGTTCAGTACAGTATTGCTGAAGCGATCCCCCCAGATATACACTTTGGCCCTCATCCAAGTGTACCCAGTTAAAAATGCTTCTGTTCTTGAGATTGAACAGGTAAGATTGCATTTCCTTCTTGAGTCTTGCCTTTCTCAAAGTTGAGGGAAACATCATAATCCTTCCTGCAAAGGGACCATCCCAAGGCCCCTGCAGGATGTCTCAGGTTTGCCTTAATCTGTTTAGACAAGAGGGCCCAGCAGGGTGAAGGAAGATCTAAGCCTAGGGATGGATGCGGAAGATGCTGTTTGTCATAATAAACTCACTACCACCATGTTTAGAGGCACCAGTCTGTCTCAACCTTCTTCTTCACCTTTCCATACCCTCTTCACACCTCCTTCATCTTCTCAGCCCTTTCAAATGTCAAAATATATACCCCCTCCTACTGAAACTATTGACTTAGACTAGAAATAAAAGCCTAGGGGAGCCCCGAGTACTTAATGCACTCCTGTAGTTGATGCAAGATGCAGCTTGTTATAGCTCTTCTGACCACTCCACAACTGCTGCCCCTGGTGCTCCCAGGAGAGTCTCAGGTACAGGCAGAGGGTGGAGGGATCACAGCAGTAGGTGGAGATTGTTCTGTGCTTTGGGCTGGCTTCCTTCACCACTCTGATTCTGTTCAAGAACCTCCAGGTTCTGGGAGAAAGTGAGGGTAGACAGAAATAGGGAGGAAGAAAAGAAAGATGGGACACCCTGCATGTTCTGATTTTCCCTTTGCTTGTATGTATGGGCATAGGGGGAGTGAGGAAAGACAAAGGTGAAAGCAATAGAGGAAGGAACTCTTGGCTGTATGCCCTGCTCAGTTATGAGGCCCTGTTTTCTGCAAAACCTCTGCCACCTTCTTCCTGTGCTCAGCATGCAGGAACTCAGGGTGGCTATAAAAGGCTATGCAATCTTTATTTTATTATCCTTCAAAAGCTAAACTATTGGGCTGGAGCTGCAGGCTGAAGTCATAACCATATTAAGCTATAGTGCCAAAGCCATAAAAGCTATGAGTGAGACATCTCAGAGGACAGGGGCCACAGACATTTTAATTCAAAAAGATTTTGTTAGGAAACCTCAGTGGGTGTTGCATGCACATTAAAAAAAAATTGGGAAGGAGTCTTGGTTGAATCTAGTGCTGGTTTATTCAGCTCCAAAATGGGACTAAGGGATGGATTTAGAGAAATATAACTAATATAAAGACTCTTACTAGAGGCAGGCCAGGCACTGTTCTAAGTACTTTACAAATATTCTATCATCTATCTATCTATCTATCTATCTATCTATCTATCTATCTATCTATCTATCTATCATCTCTTTAGCTCTATCTATAATTCTTAAAACAATAAAATAAATTCCACAATTTGCCACATTATACATATTAAGACAATGGGGGCACAGAGAAATTAAATAATTTGCCCAGTGTCCCAGAGTCAGGATTAGAACTCAGGAAATATGGCTATGGGATCAGTGGGTTTGGGTTCTGAATATGGAAGTGATATGATAGGCATATGCCGGAGGAGAAGAGACCAAATTATGCATCTCTCTAGAAACTTTCCCTCTCTCTCTATCTGGCTGAGGCAAGGGAGCTGCCTCCCAGCCTTACTCTTTTGTCCTGTGCTGCATACCCACCCCAACATAACTTGGATCTCTGCCACTTCCTTAGGTGTCAGAGCATAGGATCTAAAACATAGATGGGACCTGGAGGCAGCTTGAAGCATTGTCACTTATTAGTCATGTAACTTAGCAAGATATTTAAACTCTCAGAACCTCATGGTTTTCAACTATAAAATGTGGATTACAATTCACCTTCTGTTATGTCTTGTGAATGCTAAACATCCATTCAGAATGATGCATTATGGTATTGTTACTGTTCCTTTGATGATTTGCAAGTCTGTCCCTGCTGTCTTCAATACAAGGTAAAGTTGTAGGAATCTGTCAGATCTCTAGAATGGGGATTCTGTAGACAACTGAGGCTTCCTAAGCCTATCCCCTAACACATCTCTGCAGACCAGCTTTGCTCTCTCCCACAGGGCTTTGAAGAAAAATTAGCTTCCAGCAATGTGAACTGCAGCCAGATCCAGCCAGTGCATGAGGTAGGGTGAGGTAGGCCCCACCAATAGGTTCTGGAAGGGACCTGCAGCTTCAATTCTGGGAAATCAAGGGAAGCATAACTCAATCCCCTAACAGAGGAATGCACTAACAGACAGTCAAGAAGAAACCCCTGTGCAGAGGTAATGCTTCTCTGGCACTCCAAAGTAGGCTCAGCCTCTTCTCCTGCTTCATGTTTGCAAACAGCCCAGGTTGACCCAACATGCTTCATTTTGTTTAGTGTGCCTATGGCCATGCTTTGCAGCTGGTGAGAAGTGTGTCAAGCTCTGTGGATGAAGGAGACACATGCCATTGTGTGGTTCACCTACCCAACAACCCCATCCCCCTGGAGCAGCTGGAATAGCTACAAAGTAGAGTTCAGGAGCTCATTTGCAAGTATGAGCAGAAGCTGTCTAGAGAGAGCACTTGATCGCTGGGCTGGGGCTGGGGCTGGGAGTTATCCAAGCATAGTCTCCAATAGACACAGCATTGAGATGAGTCCTGGAAGTAGAAAATGTTTGAAGGAAGTGGCACAGCCCTCATCTTTGAGATGAATCTTTAGAATGAAGGGGAAATTCTGTACTATCCTTGGGATCTCCAGTGATAGTAACAGACTATAGAGAGGCTTGTGTAGGGGGTGCCTCCCATAGTAGTGGATGAATTAATGGGTATGGACCCACTGGAAGATGAAAATAGGGCAATTTTGGTCTGGGAGGATGCAGCTGAATGGGAGGAGCCACAGGTCTTGACATTTGGGGCAACTTCCTGTTCATCCCCTGCATGCCTAGGTCAGTGAGTATGCACACACCATTGAAGATAAAGACAATGAGGTTCTGGAAATGAGTCACATGCCGGAGTCCTGGAATCCCAGTGCCCTTGCTTCTCCCTATAAGAACCCAGCCTTCAACCTGCTGCGCCTGGAACTGGAGGGAGCACAGAAGTTGGTGACTCAACTTACAGCCATTGGAGGCATTATTGTGGTAGCAGACCTTCTCCACTGACTCCAGAGCCAGGTATACGGATAGATTAAAGAATACCCCTCCCTAGGCCGGGTGCGGTGGCTCACGCCTGTAATTCCAGCACTTTGGGAGGCTGATGTGGGCAGATCACCTGAGGTCAGGAGTTCGAGACCAGCCTGGCCAACATGGTGAAATCCCATCTCTACTAAAAATACAAAAATTAGCCATTTGTGGTGGTGGGCACCTGTAATCCCAGCTACTTGGGAGGTTGAGGCAAGAGAATAGCTTGAACCCAGGAGATGGAGGTTGCAGTGAGCTGAGATTGCACCACTGCACTGCAGCCTGGGTGACAGAGCAAGACTCTACCTCAAAAAAAAAAAAAAAAGAAAGAAAGAAAAAGAAAAAAAATCCCTCCCTGTCACAGACTCCTGTCTTCTCTAACCTCACATATTGGACAAATTCTGATATTACTTCTTTCTGAGGAAGAAGACTCTGAGCTGAGGAATATGACAGCCAGAGTTCAGTTTTTAAGAACACTCTGCAACCCACTTCTCGGGCATCTCATTTCCATAGGTGACTAACGCCAGTCTCACACTCAAGCTTTTGGCTGACTCTGACCAGAGCAGCTTTGGTGCTCTCCAGCAGGAGGTGGATGTCCTTGAGAGTCAACTAAGTGAATGTGAGAGACAAAAGGAGAAAGAACAGGCCTCCAGACACCTGGACCACCCCTCCCCCCGGGTGAGTGAACAGACTGAATTTCTCAAGGTCTTATCTCTTCAGAGACCAGGTTGGGAGTGCATGTTGGCTATGGTAAACTGAGGGGAGGGAAGAACAATTTTTTTTGTTGTTGTTGTTTGAGACGGAATCTCGCTCTGTTGCCCAGGCTGGAATGCAGTGGCGTAATCTCAGCTCACTGTAACCTCCACCTCCTGGGTTCAAGCGATTCTCCCACCTCAGGCTCCCGAGTAGCTGGGATTACAAGTGAGCACCACCAAGCTCGGCTAATTTTGAAATTTTTAGTAGAGACAGGGTATTGCCATGTTGGCCAGGCTGGTCTTGAACTCCTGACCTCAGGTGATCCGCCTGCCTTGGCCTCCCAAGGTGCTGGGATTACAGGTGTGAGCCACTGCACCCAGTCAAAGTACAAATCTTGATAGAGAATAAATCTTTCATTTCCTTGTTTTGTGTGTCACTGAAAAATGCAGACCAAGATTGATATATTCTCATACATCAGCATACGTATACACAGACATATGAACACCCCATAATCAGATGTACATAATAACCTATGTTTATGCAAAATCAACCTGCTGATATGCTTGTATATGCACTCAGGTGCATGGATACACACTCAAACCCACACATGGTTATTATACTTTCACACTCAGCTACCTGTGGGTTGTGTGCTTTAGACTTCGCTCATATATTGCCTGCTTTATCCCCTAGCTTCTTGTGCCCATGGAGGCCTCCAGGAAGTTAGCAAACCCCTTGTGGTTCAGCTCAATTGGAGAGGCTTCTCATACAAGGCAGGTGCCTAGGGCTGAGACTCAGTACCCAATCCAGCCTCTTCCCTTTACTGGGTGGCTCCTCTACGCACAAATGGCAGGTGAGCCCTGAGTGAGTGACTTCTGTTCTGCAATCAGATTACTTCCAAATGTCCCCTACCTGTACCCAAACAGGTTTCTTTATAGCCCCAAGCCAGCTTCTTCTCTCTATTTTAAGTATGCCCCAAAACAAACCTGGCCTAGGCCTAACAGGTCACCTCCTAATGCTTTTCTCATGAGACAAGCATGACCCAGACTGCCCTGAGCTTCCTTCACAAATCCACTGTCTAAAAATTTTAATCCCATAGTAACTCAAAGATGGTTCTACTTCTACTCTGATTCTATGTAAAGGACAAACTCTTCTACACCTGGGCCTCAAAATTCTAACTTCCTGCTTAGAAGTTCAGAGCATGTCTCTGGCCAAGCTTGAGACTTGGAATTAGGCCAATCTGTATTTGAGACTCAATACTGCCATTTAAGCTAAGTGACCTTGGGAAAATGAATTAACATCTCAGAGTCCTTCTTAGCCATATGTAAAATTGGGATAATTGTACATATATGAGAAGATCACATGAGATTACATAGAAAAGTATGTAAAACATAGGTGCTGATATGTATTTATTAGATGAAAGAATGGCTAAAAGAGTCAATAAATAGATGAGTAAGACCCTCAATACATTGTCAGCCTTGCTAGGGAGGTAGGCCCAACACACAGAATGTTAAAAGTTAGTGTGTGTGAAAATGTAATATAGACCTGTTGTGAGAAAGAGACATGAATATAGGTTAAACCAGTCATTGAAGAGCCCCAGTTGAAGCTCAACTCAAAAAGATTAATGTTACTGAAAATTAGTGTTACTGAAAATAATGTTCCCCAATTTCTATGCTTATATAAAATGTATAGGCTATACTTTGTAACATATAACTCAAATATGCTACACTTTGCAGCATATAAACTATGTTTACATGCCTTGGAACCCTCTCAAAATCTACGGGTAATCAGGACTTACAGAAAAATGTTAAGAGATAAGATTACTCATAACTCAGAGATAATTTAAGGAACTTTCCAATGTGACCTCATGAGAACAAATCTCCCTGAATCCAGGTCCAGAAATATGTCCTGTTACAGGACCCTTGCATCTTGAGGACAGGTGGAAGGCAGTGGAGTGTAGATACAGAAGAATCTCCATAAGGAAGAAAAAATAATAGCTACCATTTTTTGATTGCTCATTGGAACAAATGCTCTACTAATTGTTTTCTTTGCTTTATTTTGGACAGTACTAACAGTCAATAAAGTAGCCTGTTATTTTTGTTTACAGTTTTTACTTATAAGCTGTGTGACCTTGAGCAAATGACTCAACATTTCTAAGACCTAGTCTCTTCATCTGTAAGGATAAAACCTACTGTACAGTGCTGTTATTATAATTAGATTATGCATATATAGTGTCTAATAGGCACTGTAGCTATTGGTGTTTTATTATTACTGTTACTTTAAAAAATAATTGTTTAGTTTGTCATCGTTGAGTAAGTAAAAGATGAACTAAAGTCAATTGTTTGATAGCAAAGCCCCTGCTCTTGATTAGCAAACCGATCTGCCCATTTTTATAGCCCTTTGTTACCTTAGTTATTGCGGTCACCCAATAATTCCAAATGCAGGGCTTGGCCTAGGTACTTTGACTACTATCGGCTGTACAAATCCTATAATGACCTTGTGCTGCTGAAAAACTATGGAGAGAGGAAGATGGGCTATGGTGATGGCAGTGGAAACGTTGTGTATAAGAACTTTATGTACTTTAACTACTATGGCAGAAGCAACATGACCAAGATGGACCTTTCCTCCAACATCCTGGTGCTGCGGCATCCGCTGCCTGGTGCCACCTATAACAATCACTTTTCCTGTGCTGGTGTGCCCTGGAAGGACTTAGATTTTGTTGGTGATAAGAAGGGGCTGTGGGTTCTTTATGCCAATGAGGAGAGCAAGGGCAACCTGGTTGTGAGTCGTCTCAACACTAGCACCCTAGAAGTGGAGGAAACCTGGTGCACTAGCCAGTACAAGCCAGCCCTGTCAGGGGCCTTCATGGTCTGTGGGGTGCTCTATGCCTTACGCTCACTGAGCACCCACAAAAAGGAGATCTTCTATGCTTTTGACACCACCACCGGGCAGGAGCGTCGCCTCAGCATCCTGTTGGACAAGATGCTGGAAAAGCTGCAGGGCATCAACTACTGCCCCTCAGACCACAAGCTCTATGTCTTCAATGATGGTTACCTGATAAATTATGACTTCATCTTCCTGAAGAGAAGGCTACCAAGACCACCCACCAAGAGGCCCTCTGGGGTTCATGCTCCACCAAAACCTGTCAAACCTAACAAGGCTTCCAGACCCTGAGACCCCAGGGCTGGGCAGAGCATTAGTAGAAGTGTGCCCTCTTCCTTACCTCCAGGAGGACCACATCCCAAAGTGGTCATTGGTCCTAATGATTGGAAGACATTGATTATATCTAGTGAGTCCTTTATGTAATTAATATCTCAATCAGCATATTAAGGTTCCCTTTAATAATGGTCTAGGTGGATTTGATAGGGAAAAAGTAAAATATTAGCTAAGAAAATGGTACCCTCTCTTTCTGATGCTTTGGCATCTCATATTCCTTTTGGAGAATCATAAATCCAGCTTCTGGAACTCAAGAGTTCTGTGATCTAGAATTGTCGGTTTCAGGTTGGGAACATCTGATTCCAGTGCAGAAGCTGTAGGGCAGCTGGTCATTAGAGTCGGATATGAAAGTTCCCTTTCTTATCTCTACCTTCCTGTGAGGTCCCTGGGGAGAAAATATATATATGTGTATCTATACACAAATATATATATATGTATATATACACATATATATAAAGGTATAAATGTATGTATATATATAAAGGTATATACTGCATGTATACATACACACAGTATCACACAGAAACACACGTCCCACATTTAAAAATATGGTTTTTATTTACTTTTTTGTTTTCTTACTAGTTCCATCCAGAGAACTTTGTCCCTGTTTTCTGGAAAATTGTTTTATTTTATTGTAAAGACCTGGACCCTGAAATATGTCCTCATTCCCCAGCTGGCCCAGGGTGACCGTGAGGATAGACTTGACATCACAATATCCCTTTTCTGAGGATTCATGCCCTTGGAGGGTGGGGTAGGAGGAGGGGTAACCCTAGGAGAAGTCATCACCACTTTGTCCACCGTGGGTGAAGTATGCATCAGTAGCCATGCCAGGCCTCAGCTGGGCCACATCTGGAGAACTGGGGTGAGGGCACAACATCGCAAAATACCTGGCCCTAGCCTGGTCACTCATCCCTTTTTGGGCAACAAGGAAACTATCCTGTGGCATGAGAACACAATACCTGAGACAAAGGCCAGCAGAAACATTTGCCTGCCCCTACCCTTTCTGCCCCAGCTTCCACCTGCACCCCATCTGCCCGCCCACTAAACCGCATGTCGCATGCCATCTCTCGAACATCCAGGATGTCCCAGAGTGGATGTCCTTCAGGTCTTTCGGCAGACAAAAATATCTCTTCAAGTGCCACTCAAGTGATAGTGAAGACTGCAGGCAACCAGAAAGACTTTATGGTAGCTGATGACATCTCGGTGAGGCAGTTCAAGGAGATGCTATTGGCTCACTTCCAATGCCAAATGGACCAACTAGTGCTGGTCTTCATGGGCCGCCTTATCAAAGACCATGACACACTGAGCCAGAGGGGCATCATGGATGGCCACACCATCTACCTGGTCATCATGTCCAAGCATGGCTCCAGATCTCTAGCCCATTCCTTCCAGGATCTGCCAACGAATGATCCCTGCCACTGGGACAGAAACACCAAAGGAAACAGCAGCGGGGTGCACCAACCAACTGGTATGAATCAAGCTCCAGTAGAATTGGCCCACTTTGTGGGGCCTGATGCACCCAAAGTGCATACCCAGAACTTGGAAGTGAGCCATCCAGAGCACAAAGCACAGATGCTGGAGAATCCTAGCATCCAGCGGCTTCTGTCCAACATGGAGTTCATGCGGCAGTTCATCTCAGAACATTTAGACACTCAACAATTGATGCAGCAGAACCCAGAAGTTTCCCACCTTCTTGACAATTCTGAGATCCTATGGCAGACTCTGGAGCTGGCCAGGAACCTTGCTATGATCCAAGAGATAATACAGATCCAGCAACCTTCACAAAACCTTGAGTATCCACTGAACCCACAGCTGTATCTGGGCTTAGAGACAATGCCAGGTGGGAATAATGCCCTGGGTCAGAACTGTGCTGACATTAATGATCAAATGCCGAACAGTATGCAATATCCTTTTGGAGGAAACCCTTCACAGCTCTCCTGGCAGGACAAGTGCTGGAACAAGTCCAGTCTTCACCTCCACCTTCACCACCATCCCAGGAACGGCAAGACCAGCTCCACAGCATCCTGCAACCCGAGTCATCTATAATAGCTCTGGTGGTTTATCTTCAAACACCTCAGCCAGTGACACCCCTAACAAGGTCAACCACACTTCCAAGGCCAACACTGCTATGATCTCCACCAAGGGCCAGAGCCATGTCTGTGCCACTTGGCCAGCCAGCTGGGATACCAGCCTTACCTAGCATAGAGCTTACCCAGCAGCTTCAAGAAGAATACAAAGATGCCACTGTTTCTCTAAGTAGCTCCAGACAGATATTAGAGGGTGATCTCCAGCTGTCAGATGAACAGACCAGCTCCCAGATCACAGGAGGCATGATGCAGTCGCTTATGAACACCCTCTACCTGGCAGCTCAGATTATGTTGTTCATGAGTATGCCTCAGCTGAGTGAACAGTGGAGGCAGCAGCTGCCCACATTCCTGCAGCAGACACAGATTTCTGATCTTCTTATTGCTTTAGCCAACCCTAAAGCATTCCAAGCAATATTGCAGATTGAGCAGGGCCTCCGGCTGCTGGCCACAGCGGCTCCGGTTCTTCTACCTTGGGTTGCACCTTACCTATGGGGCTTGGGTTGGCTTTCTGCCCCCAGCTGCAGCTATCCTGACACAGTGCTCTGTTCCTGGAATGTTTCGGATATACCCGAGCCTAAGGGACCTGAGTGCTGCCACAAACCTGGAACAGTCCTGTAGAGGCTACAATCCCCAGATGGGGACCCTTACCACCCTCTGCAAGCTCCTGAGATTCGTTTTAGCAAACAGATGGAATCTCTCCAGGCCCTGGAAGCTGGGAACCACCATGCCAATCTACAGGCACTCATTGCTACTGAAGGGGACACCAATGCTGCTACCCACAAGCTCAAGGGATCCCAGAGATTCTAACCACCATGCCTACTTCTTTGCTTGCCACCTGTCTGTTGACCCACCTGACCATCTCATTTGCCTTTTCCACCTCTCCTGATGCTTCCAGCCAAGAGAAGTCCTGGAATAGGAGTTATCAACCAGTGTGTCTTGTACTGAATAATAGATCACTGGCCATGGCTGGAACATCTGTCAACAAAATGGCTACACTCACTTGCCCTGATCTGAGGTTTGGCTTTTCTTCTTTTGCAGAAAAAAAAAAAAAAAAAAAGAAAAGAAAAAAGAAAAAAATAACTGTGTGATATTTTTGTCTCACCTATATACATACATTAACACATAAACCACATTCATGTATTAATATAGAGGTGACAATAATGTTTTTATCTCTAAAACATGAGCATTTTGAATGTGGTATATGAAACTTGAGCACAGTATATGAAACTGATTATTTTGAGCATGTCACCTCAGACAGGTGTGTGTATGTACACAAGCTCACATAGTAAAAAATTCACATATAGAGGCATATAGAGTCCACATACAAGTACACACAGCCAGGTGCAAACACGGATGCAAATACCTAGAGACACATAAACAGACCCATATGTAGGGAAAACAATCATAACATGCTCAAACAGAAAGGGAAACATTTTACATAGATAGGCCTAGCTATTTAGTCATAAAGACTGTCTGAATTTCTCAAACCCAAATTGTTCAAGTTTGAAAGTGGAACAGAAATAATATGTGGGCCAGACTATGGTGAATTCACATATCAACCAAGTCCGGATGAATAGTTATCGTCATTGGAGCCTCTTACTCACTGACATTACCATCATTATAAGACGGTGATGGGTTATCACTACTTTCTCGTTAGCACACAGAGATGCAGCTGCTGCCATCTCTACTGTATATCTCAGTCACCACAAATCCAGCCCTCCATGGGGCACAGCACCTTCCAAGAATATCATCTCCTTTGGTGTATCTTATGTTTGTAGTTTACATTTTCCGTGGTTGCCCCACTTTTTTCTCTTTCTGCCTCACCTAGAGTATCCCAGCATGGCAGGATATGCAGTTACTTGTGTTTTAATTATTCCATGATTAAATAATTTAATACACGCTTACCAGAATAATTCAGTGTTGTTTTAGGCATTGAAAAAATAGCAGTGAAAAAAAATAAAGATCCTTTATTTATTGACTTTACTGTCTTTTGTGGAGATACAAGCTATGTTAGGTGGTAAGTGCTGTGAAGAAAAATGAATCAGAACAAGATATTCTACCTAGGGTGATCAGAGAAGGCCTCTCTGAAAAGGTGACATTTGAGCAGAAATCAGATGTAACTAGGAGAACTGAACATGCAATTCACTGGGAGAAGGATGATCCATGAGCTGTCTGAAAGTAAAAGCCCCAAGATAGCAGTATTCCTGCTGTGTTTTAAGAGTAACAAGAAGGTGATACAGCTGAAATGGATAAAAAGGAGTGGGGAATGGGAAGGAAGTCAGAGAGATTGTGAAAAGTTTTATAGGTCTGGTGAAAACTTTGGATTTTACTGTGAATGTAATAGTCACTGGTGAGTTTTGAGCAAATAAATCAAATCATTCAATTTATCAGTCTGACTTCACAATGGAGAATGCACTGTGAGAGAGAAAAACCAGGGAAGCAGAGAAACCAGTTAGGAGGCTTTTACAATAGAGAAGTTGAGAAACAGTGGTTTCTTGCACTGGGGTGGGAGCAGGGGAGGTGTTGAGAAGTAGATTCTGGACTCTAAAGGGGACCCATCCACAGAGATTTGTGTGCTCAACAAACCCCTTCTGAGCCCCAACATGGCCATCAGTAAGAGTGAAGAACAGGCTTACAAACTTTCAAGTGTTTCTAGAAAGCTCACTGCCAAAGACCCCTGCTTCATGTCCACACCTACCAAAAAGAAGTCTCAAGAAATAAATTACAGTGAAAATGGATTTTTTGCCTCCCCATTTAATATGATTAAGCTTCATACCCTCTCTGCTACAGCTTGCATAAAAAGCTGAAGCTATCCAGGTCATCTTTTTTATTTTCATCACAATATGCTCTGAAAATTCCTTACTTGACTCATTTTTCTACTCATTACCAATTTTCCAAGTCTTTTCATCCTACCATTTAGAAGTCATAACTTAGCAATAGAAAAACCTACATATCTACAACCTTCTTTCTAAAGATGACTATACCTTTTTGCTATCATGGAGATCTGAATGTTCACTGAAGACACTGCTTCTCCAGCAGTGGCTACATCTTTGTTTCCCTTGAACTTGGAAGTGGATAGATGTCATTATTGCACCATCTTGCTGCTTCTCAGCCCAGTTTTCTGGCTCCAAGATTATTTCATGACCTATGAATATAATAATTGTAGCATAATACTTGCCTAGTTAACTCATTATGGTGATACTGAACTCTTCATCTAGTCTCTGTTTAGGCAAAGAAAAGCATGTATCTGTGCTGACTAGTTTCATTTAAACTTATTACCAAAAGATTTAATTATTGTCTTAGCAATCCTAACTGCATTTTCCCAGTCCAGTAATTCTCACCAGAATCTGCACCAGGATCACCCAGAGGGTGTGTTAAAATACAGATTTCTGCGCGACATCCCAAGGGTGTCTGATTCAGTAGGTCTACAGTAGCGTTGAAATCTCTCATTTCTAATAAGTTTCCAGGTGGTGCTAATGCTGTCAGTTTGGAGATCATACCTGGAAATCTACTATCCTAGTTAACTCACTAAATTATTGTTAGTCCAAACTGCATCATTTTGTAAACTTCCCACTATTTTGCAGACCTTGGTCAAAGTGAAACATTTCACAGTGGTTCAGGCTATGAGAAACATCCTGCCTAACCACCTGACCACAAGGAGGACAAAGGCCCTATCATATCTTGTTAGGCAAAGGTCCATTGAACACCACGATGATGTCCTAAAGAAACAAGGACCAAACCGCCTCATCCTGAGAACATCTTATCAATATCCTGCCAGGCAGCAAGCCATACTGCTCAGACCACTCGCTCCCATACCTATAAACTACCCCGGCCTGTAAGCAACTGTGGGCTCTGGCAGTAGGCTGGTCCCACACTTCTCTAGGTTTTATGCTAGATATAAAGCCTGCATTTGCTGTGTTTGTGTGTCTTTCTTTAACCCTTGCCTTCCCTTCGAAACCTAACACTTATTCTTTCAGATGATCAATTCATATCTTGTTTTCTCTTCTCTAAATCTTAAACGTTGTGTTTATTTCAACAAGAAAGACAATAATAATCAGAAGGGACTTCTACCTGTGTCTACCATGAAATCAATCAACTAGCTTACATCTGTCCCAATACACTCTGCCTCCCATGCATTCTGCTGTCATGAATAAACTGTTCATATCCCTAAATCAAGCTCTCCACATGGGCACTTGCTCCCAATCTCTCTAACTTATCTATTCAATAACTTAATAGTTTTCCCTTTCTCATGCATCAATTTTTTTCTACTCATTGAATTGCTTCCATCAGAATATAAACATCACACACTATTCTTAAGACAAAAAATCTAAAAAGCCTTTAACCCCACATTCCCACATAGCTGTCATCCCCTTTCTTGCATTTATAATACCCTTACTGGATCTACTTTTTCTCAAACAATTTGCTTTTAAACACACTCTAATCAGGCTTCCTTCCTCTACTATCCTTCCAAAGCTTGTCTCATCATGGTCTCCAATTCTTTATGTTTTCAAATCCAGTGTCCAATTCTCAATCCTCATTCTCCTGACCTAGCAGCATCATTTGACATGGCTGGTCACTCTCTCCTTTTTGAAACTCTTCTTCCTTTGGCCTTTCTCTTTTCTCTCTCTTTTTTTCTACCTTATTGTTTTATTTTTTCTCAGTTTCCTTTGCCAAATTCTTCTGATCTTCCAGATTTCTAAATGTTATAGAGCCACAAAACTCAGATTTTAAAATCTCTATCATTTTGCCTGTATGCACTAACTAGCTAATCTAAACCAGTCCATGATGTTAAGCACCCTTTGAATGCTAATAAACTCTGGACTTATAATATTCAACTACCCTTGTACATCTCCATTTGTATGTAAAATAGACATCTCAAATGTATGTAAAACTGTTTAACAACCTGCTGATTTAGAGAAAGTGCTTATTCCCAATCTTTATCTTAGTAAATATTCAGTCCTTTGAGTTCCTTTGGAGGATAACGATTTCTTTTGAAGTAAAAAAAAAAAAAAAATTATGTCATGCTTGACTCCTCCCTTATGCCCCAAATCCCATCCATCAGCAAATCAATACTTTGAAAATACGTAAAGAATTCATGGTTAATGTTGAATAAGACAGAAAAGTGGGACATAGGATACTAGGAAGAAGCCCCTGGACCAGGAAGTAGCTGAATGAGGGTCTGAATGGAGACAGAGAGGACTGAGAGATGTTTTATAATGTTCCAATCCCAGTCTGAGCCTCCACAGAAGTCTCCACAGGAAGGCACTTGAGGTGGAAGAAGGTAGAAGTGGTAAAAGATGGGAGAACAAGAGTTCCCAGGGATCCAGAGCTCGTTAGAGAAGTCTCAAGAACTTTCTGATTGAGGCTGTGACGTCAGCACTGAGGTCACAGAAGGGACCTGATAGTGCGGGTTCTGACCCAGAAGGCCACAGGGGTGGCTGTGTAGCAAGATGAGGGAGGTTTGGAGCCTTGCATAAAGAGGACGGGACCACAGCTGACTGGTATGTACACCCCAGCCTGGGCCCTTCCTCCTACCTTTGTCCCTGTACTCATCAACTACAGACCTCTTTCCCAGGGCCCTGTATTTCCCTCCCCTGATTCCAACATGTCTCAATCCTGCAATCCTCCTAAAGCATCCTGCCCCAGAAACCTCATGGCCCCTTTCATGTAGACCCTGCAGCTTTCCCTATCCTGATACTCAAGCCCCTTTTCATGCTCACCTTTCCTACTTTTGCCATTGCCTGAAAGGATGATCTTGGTCTCCCATCCCCATGCCCCTAGCTGTGTCCCCACAGACCTGGGCCTCCTGCTGCCACCATGGCCAAAGGTGGAGAAGCCCTGCCACAGGGCAGCCCAGCACCAGTCCGGGATCCCCACCTCATCAAGGTGACAGTGAAGACGCCCAAAGACAAGGAGGATTTCTCAGTTACAGACTCATGCACCATCCAGCAGCTGAAGGAAGAGATATCTCAGCGCTTTAAGGCCCACCCTGATCAGCTTGTTCTAATCTTTGCTGGCAAAATCCTCAAGGATCCTGACTCACTGGCACAGTGTGGAGTGCGAGATGGCCTTACTGTCCACCTGGTCATCAAGATGCAGCGCCGTGCCATGGGCAGTGAGTGCCCAGCTGCCTCTGTCCCTACCCAGGGCCCAAGTCCTGGATCACTCCCTCAGCCAAGCTCCATTTACCCAGCAGATGGGCCCCCTGCCTTCAGCTTAGGTCTCCTCACAGGCCTCAATGGGCTGGGCTTGACCTATCGTGGCTTCCCTGACCAGCCAAGCTCACTAATGCGGCAGCATGTGTCTGTGCCTGAGTTTGTGGCTCAGCTCATTGATGACCCCTTCATCCAGGGTCTGCTGTCCAACACAGGCCTGGTACGCCAGCTGGTTCTTGACAACCCCCATATGCAGCAGCTAATCCAGCACAACCCTGAGATTGGGCATATTCTCAACAACCCTGAAATTATGCGGCAGACACTGGAGTTTTTACGTAACCCTGCCATGATGCAGGAGATGATACGTAGCCAGGACCGGGTGCTCAGTAACTTGGAGAGCATTCCTGGTGGCTACAATGTGCTTCGCACTATGTACACAGATATTATGGACCCGATGCTTAATGCAGTCCAGGAGCAGTTTGGTGGCAATCCCTTTGCCACTGCCACTACCGATAATGCCACCACCACCACAAGCCAACCTTCAAGGATGGAGAATTGTGACCCTCTCCCCAACCCCTGGACTTCTACACATGGAGGCTCAGGTAGCAGGCAACAAAGGCAGGATGGGGATCAGGATGCAGCTGACATCAGAAATAGGTTTCCAAACTTTCTGGGTATTATAGGACTCTATGACTATCTCCAGCAATTACACGAGAACCCCCAGTCCCTAGGAACTTATCTACAGGGGACAGCATCTGCCCTCAGCCAAAGCCAGGAACGACCACCACCAGTAAACAGAGTTCCCCCATTGTCACCCTCATCTCAGGAGCCTAGGTCAGGCCAGCCTCTCCCCAAGGAGTCAGTAGCAATCAAGGGAAGGTCCTCCTGCCCAGCTTTTCTGAGATATCCCACAGAGAATGGTACTGGAAAAGGTGGAGACCAAGATGGTGCAGGGAAAAGCCCTACTGGACATAGTACAAACTTGCCTGATCTTGTCTCAGGGCTGGGAGATTCTGCCAACAGGGTTCCATTTGTTCCCTTATCCTCTTCCCCCACGGCAGCCATTCCTGGAATCCCTGAGCCTCCCTGGCTGCCATCCCCACCTTATCCAAGATCTCTGAGGCCAGATGGCATGAATCCGGCTCCACAGTTACAGGATGAGATACAACCACAGCTGCCACTGCTGATGCACCTTCAGGCAGCCATGGCAAACCCCCGTGCCATGCAAGCCCTGCGGCAGATTGAGCAGGGTCTGCAGGTCCTAGCTACTGAAGCACCTCGCCTCCTACTCTGGTTCATGCCTTGCCTAGCAGGGATGGGTAGTGTGGCAGGAGGTATACAGTCTAGAGAAGATCCCCTTATGTCTGAGGATCCTCTCCCAAATCCACCTCCTGAGGTGTTCCCAGCACTGGACTCTGCAGAGCTGGGCTTCCATTCCCCTCCCTTTCTCCATATGCTGCAAGATTTAGTTAGTACAAATCCCCAGCAGCTGCAGCCTGAGGCTCACTTTCAGGTGCAGCTGGAGCAACTACGGTCCATGGGCTTTCTAAATCGTGAAGCCAATCTACAGGCCCTCATTGCTACGGGGGGCGATGTGGATGCTGCTGCGGAGAAGCTGAGACAGTCATAGGCGTCTTAGTCATTCAGACCATACATTTTCCTCTGTGCCTTTTTCCCATATCCTATTTCCCTAGCTCTCCCATTTTTGAATACAGCTGCATTATAAACAAAATTTACTATGATGCCCTTTACTGTGGAGGCAATGTTGTTCCAGAGTCAACGAGGAAGACTAATTGCCAAAACATAGTGGAGGCACTGTGTATGAGTCAACCACTTGTACCACTATACCATCGGGGGGCCCCGGTCTGAGCTCTGCTTATGCCTATCTTGAGATGCAATTACACCCAATTTCCAATGTGAACTCTTGCCTGAGTCTCATTCATGTGGGCTATGAGAAAAAAGGAAGGATACGGGAGAAGAGGTAGTGATAAGGGCTGTCTCTACATGGATGGAAGGACTTGGAGGGAAACTAAAAGATCTGAAGTTAGAAGACTCACAGGTTTGAAGAACAGAGGAGGAAATGTTGTTGCAACCTTTTGAAGGTTGAGGCCTGCAACTTTCCCAGTGTTCTTTCAGCGTTTCTTCAGATTTTGTGTCCTGTAGTAGCTGCTACCAGGTGCTCTGGTTTTCCGAGCTCCCTACCACTAACCTGACTGAAAAGTGGGTACAGTTTCTTTCTTTAACTTCCCCTGAAGACTATCCCCCAAGTGGCTTTCACTTCCAGGATTTGATGCTGATCTCTGAGCAGACAGAGCAGCAAAGGAGTCAGAGTGACTTCTCAGATTCCTGAATCTCACCGACTTTATACAGTCCCTTGTAACCAGATTCAGAGAGTTAATTTTTTGCAACTTCAAGCTCAAAATTGAAGACCTACTCTGTGTATAGCATTCTGCTAGCTATTGGGAATTCAATATGAGAAAAAGAGTTTTACTCACTGCCCTGCCTCTATGAATTTATGATCTTATAGCAAGAATTGTGCAAATTGTGACTATACAATTCACATTATATATAATTACAAACTATAATAAGTGGTGTAAAGAAAAAGATGAGGAGCTGTGAAATAGCATGAACAGGGTCTTGATCTAGTCTGGAGAGACAGGAAAGGCTTCTGTGAGTGTGTACTGCAAACTAGAATCCAAAAAGTGGTAAGAATTAAGTAGGTAAAGCTCTGAAGGAGGAGGGAAGAGCTTTCCTGCAGAAGAGCTATTATGTACAAAGGCACCGACATAGGAGGTGCACAACACACGGAAGATGCCCTTGGCATCTCAGACTAAATCCTTGTTTGCATTCAAGGATGCTTTGCATTACCCATGTACTTCTAGGGTAAAAGTGCTACAGTTCATAAATCAAGCCGGTAAATAATGCTTTCCAATCCATATGCACATAAATGTGTCAGGTAAACTCACTGTAGACAAATGCACATCCGCTTAAATACATCTTCACATGGGTACATTCTATGTACATATGTAAAAGCCTGTTAAATCAGTTTCATCGTAAAATGGAAGTGTAAACATAAGAAACATTCACACTATATTCCTGTGAAGGAAGTAAAGAGGTCTTGATGGGGGCTATCTAAAAGTGGCTGTGGTGTGTGTTTAGATGTCAGAGACTCAGTACTGGGAGAGAGAGAACCTCTACTTGGAGCCCAGGATGTTTTGATCATCCTGTGTAACTTAGAGCTGCTATCGCAAGGCTTAAAGGAGATAAAAGCAGCCTTTGGGAAAACATTTATTCTAGCGATTTAGGTTTCGATGTCTAGGTTGAGCACAAGGCTCTTGATATGATTTGGCTCTGTGTCCCCACCCAGATCTCATCTTGTAGCTCCCACAATTCCCACGTGTTGTGGGAGGGACCTGGTGTGAGATGATTGAATTATGGGGGCGGGTCTTTCCCTTGCTGTTCTGGTGATAGTGAATGGGTCTCACGAGATCTGACGGTTTTAAAAACCAGAGTTGCTGTGCATAAGCTCTCCTTTTGCCTGCTGCCATGCCGGGAAGATGTGACGTGCTTCTCCTGGCCATGGTTGTGAGGCCTCCCCAGCCATGTGGAACTGTAAGTCCAGTAAACCTCTTTCTTTTATAAATTGCCCAGTCTCGGGTATGTCTTTATTAGCAGCGTGAAAACAGACTAATACAGCTTCAGTTTCCCCTCACTGCACTCGCCATTAGGGGATAGTTTTTGTCCAGATTAAAGAAAAACCTATTGTTTATGGTGGTGCTAGGGGAAATGAAGAGGAAACTTTCGCCTCTCCATTTTCTTCAGTTGATAAGGCGAGTTCTCTGGGTCTGCCTCTGACTGGGGAAGATATACATTGAACCCCAAATTTCTATCCTTGGAAGTCCAGGTAGGTCTGAGGACAAAAACAACCTAATAGAAATGTTGCTGCATTTATCTGACTTCCATTTGAGCCAAAGAAAACCTGAGGGTCATATGAAATTAAGCCCTGTTAGTTGGAAGGCCAGGTAGGTCTGAGGAAAAAACAAACAACCTAATGGGAAGAAATGTTACTTGGTTTTTTTTTGTTTTTTTTTTTTTGAGAAGGAGTCTTGCTGTGTCGCCCAGGCTGGAGCGCAGTGGTGCGATCTCTCCTCCCTGCAAGCTCTGCCGCCTCCCGGGTTCACACCATTCTCCTGCCTCAGCCTCCCTAGAAATTGGGACTACAGGCGCCCGCCACCACGCCCGACTAATTTTTTTGTATTTTTAGTAGAGACGAGGTTTCACCATATTCGCCAGGATGGTCTCGATCTAATCTCGTGATCTGCCTCCTTGGGCCTCCCAAAGTGCTGGGATTACAGGCGTGAGCCACTGCGCCCGGCCGATGTTACTGTTTTTATCTGCCTTCCATCTGGGGTAAAGAAAGCCTGAGGCTCGTTTGAAGTTAAGCCCTGCTCATCAAAGAAGACAGCAGGTGAACTGGGTCTAAAAGTCTTAGCTAAGGAGAAGAGTGTTCATTTAGTGGATGATTCTCTTGCCATAACCTCTTAGAGCCCTTCACAATTGACTGGGTGCTTGGACTCCTTGCTGTAGCTTCATCAGAGAGTAAACTCATCAGCCTCATGCCTGGCTCCAGGGTGGTGAATCCAGGAGGAGGAGGCTTCTGGGGCAGGGAGGGTCGCTGTCTTCTACCTAGCAGCTAAGGTAGGGCCTGGTACATGGAAAGTGTGCAATCAATGATTGAATGAGTGTTAAACAATGAGTGACTAAGTGAGCAAACAAATGAGAAAGTGATTTGGGACAGTGGGTGGATACAAATCAAATTAAAGATGTCACAGGACCAGAGCTTGTGCTTTGGAAAATAAAAGCTATGAGAATTTTGGGGGGAGGAAGTCCCTGCAGGCTGATGTTGCTGAAAGAGCAGGCCTCCTAGGACTTCCCATCTGCTGTCCCTATTCTTACTCTCTATCAGCCATTGCCCAAGATCAAATCTGGGTTGTGGAAGGACAGGCCAAGGGGGTTATACAGGTGGAGAAGAGAAGATAGTCATAGAGTTTTGGTCATGCTGGGCTTACTGCCTGGCCCTTTCCAAAGAAATTGTACTCTTTCTTCAGACCAAGAGATTTGCTAGAAAGCAGAAAAACAAACCATGGTAAAGTCTGCAGTACTGAGAACTGATTTGGATAACAATTAGCCAGGAAAGTAGACAGCAGTTAAGGAGAAAGGTATCCAAACAATAAAAAGTGCTTTTAAGCATCAATGTTATTTCCTTTTTTTTAAAAAAAAAAAAACCAAAAAAACAGAACTAATATCTTCATCATAAACATATCCCCATATTTTTTCTATATGTTTTAGGATTTCATTACTTATTTTTATTTAATATTAATAGCTAACACTTATTGAGGCTTTACTATATGTTAGGCTCTGTTCCAAGCTTTTTACATCTGATTCCACAGAATAGTCCTTTAGCACAGATATTAGTAGTATCCCTATTTTATGGATGAGGGCAGCTGAGGCAAATGAAGAGGGGAAGTATATCCCTTAAAGCTATAAAGCACTTCATATTACAGCCAGGATTAGATAGTCTAATTCCAGAGCCTCTTAATCACTGCAATAAATCAAGTTAATTTAATTTATGCTTCAATCCTTACCCCTAAAAAAGTAGAGCAGGGCAGAATTTGTGATATTGAAATTTTTACCCCCTGAGTCCTGTGAATGTCTACACTAGATTGAAATGTCATCATTACCATAGCCTATATATGTGTAGATGTTTTTATTTGTTTCTTTGCTTTTTATTTCATCTAATACTATACTTCCTCAATTATTTTAACTTTGAAATATTGAATGACAAAAAGAATAATGCCTGGCATTGCAAAATATCAGTGATGAATTTTGTCTGTTTTTCCAAGTACACTTTATAGCAGATGTCAAATTTCAGAAAAGGCCAAATGAGATTTTGATTGGCTTTCCATTATACTTATAAATTGGAGCAATGTTGAGAAATTTGCAATAGGCAGTCTTTCCTTTTAAAATAGGAAATGTTTCTGTTTATTAAACTTTATTTCTTTGTAAAAAAAAAAAAGTGTAGTTTCTTCAGATAAGTTTTACACAATTGGGTTTATTTACACGTGACATTTTCTGATTGTTATTTTGAATGACAATTTTTTCATTATATTTTCTGAGTGAATTAGACTGTGATGAAACTGTGCTAGTATTACTTCAGATTTTTTTTTTTTTTTTTTTTTATGAGACAGAGTCTCGCTCTGTCGCCCAGGCTGGAGTGCAGTGGCGCGATCTTTGTTCACTGCCTCCCAGGTTCATGCCATTCTCCTACCTCAGCCTCCGGAGTAGCTGGGACTACAGGCGCCCACCACCACGCCCAGCTAATTTTTTGTATTTTTAGTAGAGACAGGGTTTCACCGTGTTAGCCAGGATGGTCTCGATCTCCTGACCTTGTGATCCACCCGCCTCGGCTTCCCAAAGTGCTGGGATTACAGGTGTGAACCACTGTCCCCAGCTAGATCGTTTTTTAATAGATACTCATGCAATCAAGTGTATGCATCTTTGATAAATAGTTGCAAAGCCTCTACTCTTCTAATAATTTGTATGTATGTAAGTTGTACATAAGATAGGTAAAATAAGAATATAAAAAAACACTACCCAGACAGCACTACCAATACCAGGATGTTTGTCCTTTTCTATATTTTAATACAACCATGATTGTACTGTACATAGTTTCATAACCTACCTTTTTAACTTGGTAATATATCATCAAGTTTTCCAAGTTATTAATTACCCTTTGACACTCACAGTTCAATAAATATTTCCTGAACATTACATGTAAGAAACGATGTTTGATGCTAGGAATACAATGGTAAACAACATTATGTTTCCTACCCTAAGGAGTTTAAAATATAGTGGCAATGA